TATTTACTTACTTATTTGATATGTAAATGATTTATTTAAATTTATAAAGTTAATAAATAATTACAAAATACTAAAATTACTTTATATATCAAATAATATTTTTTACCACAATATATTAAATGACACATTGTAGATAAATATTGTAAATAAATATTTTATATATCAAATATATATCAATGATATAGGATAGAGTGAAAATGTCTTTTGGTACTTGCATTTTTTAATAATCCGCATCTTATTAACCTTACAAAAAGTTAGTTGGAGTCTGCTTAACATGATACTTTTCCTTGTTTTGTGAGTATGATGCATTGATTCAAGAGTATACCATAGTCTCAAATGTGCCCAAACCAAAATCACCTAAATTTTATCAAATGACATAAAATGTATTGGCCTTTCAATTCTCTATCCCAAAATTGTCTTTAAGACACATTAATAAAAAAGAAAGACCTCATTGCCCTTTAGATTATGATCGACTTGTTCTCTTTTTTTAGTGACATGAACCATTTGACTTTGTTGAGTTAAGGAATATAAGATTTTTGTATTTGATTTACAAGAATATAAAATTATCTATTTAAGTCTTTTATTATATTGTCCTTTATAACACATGATATTTATAATATTGACATGTAAATAACATATTATCTTCATTGAAACTAAATAATTCTAAAAAATAAATTTTGTTATTTTTTTTAATCTTACAATTCTAATTACTATCTTAATATTAATTAGCCTTATACAGAAAAAATACATGAATCGACCTTCACGGTAAGTCGATGTAGGGGTTGGAATGAGGTGGTAAAACCTCCCTTTTGAAGGTTTCCAGATTTTATGTATAATAATATTAAATAAATATATTTTAGATGTAATAATATTAAGTAAAAATATTTTACTTTTTTTTTTTTCATATTTTCAACAAGATTGCATTTTTTTTATCTTCAAAAAGTCATCTTTTCAACAAAAACTACGTTTTATTTTAGAAACGTCATATTTATTGAATTTAAAAAAAATATATTTCTTTCATGTTTTGAATAAAAATTACGTTTTTTATCTTAGAAATATCGTCTTTATTAAATTTTGAAATATATATTTTTTTCATGTTTTCGACAAAAATTGCATTTTTATCTTTAAAAAATCATCTTTTCAATAAATACTACTTTTTAAAAAAATTTAGAAACATTATTTTTCTCAAATTCTTGAAAATATTCTTTTCATGTTTTCAATATAGACTATGCTTTTATCTTATAAATGTCCTAAAATTTCATGGATTCTTAAATTCCAAATATAAAGTTATGATCACTTTCCTCTAAATCACTTTTCCTCTTTTAATTACTATGTTTTATTAATTACTATGCTTCTAATTTTTTACGATCAACTATGTTTTATATGTTAAAAATGTAGTGCTTTTAAAATTATAAAAAATTCAAAATTAAAATTTTTCAACAATTTACTATGTTTTTCTTTTAAAAACGTTACTTTTATTATAATTAATTTTTTATAATATATTTAACTACATTTCTAGCAAAACAATGTTGTGTAGATGAAAATTTTTGAATTTATTTTATTCAAGATCAATTATGTTTATAATTATAAAAACATTATCCTTTGAAACTTTATTAGTTAAAAACAAACATTTAAATTTATAAAAATTCAATTACACATGATCATTGCCAAGTGTCCAATCAGGTGACTTGAAATGCAACTTTACATGTTAGAATAGGTCTAGATTTATCATGCAATTACATTGATTTTCAAAATGAAATAAGCCATAAAAAATTATTATTAACAATAAACGTGGGACAAATTTTGCATTCCGTCAGGAATCTTAAAAAATCTTAAGGAAATGAGAGTTTTTAATTCAGCACTATCACCATCCCTTTTTAACACTTTTGGGAATTTTAGAAAATCTCAGGAATTAGATTCCTTTAATCAAACTAAAGAATCAAATTACAAAAAATTAAGATCTCAGCCAATAATCTTCTCACTTAAGGAGATGAAAGTTTTTTATTCCCTTACTTTTTCCTTTTTTGAAACTATTAAAAATGTAAGATTCATGTTGCGAAGGAAAGTTTTTCAACCAAATTAAAGAATCAGATAACGAAAAGTTAGATTTTGAGAGAGAAAATGATTTCGAGCAAAAATGGCTCACTTAAACACCCCCTAAATGTTTAATATTATCGTGCAAAAGTGTCAAGTAATTAAAATATCTAAGAAAATATGAAAAATACTAAAATATTAAAAATATAGAATAATATAGCGATTTTTTATCAAAAAGTACTTTTTCACAACAAAAACACCACTTGTGTAACTTTTTTTGCTTGGGTTGCAAAATCATACTTTTAAATTGAAAAACTATTTTTTTTTTTTTTGTTGTTTAATATTGAAATCAGATCAAAAATAGCTTTTGAACACATAAACTATTTTTATAAGCAATTCTAAATTAGGCCTAAATCATTTTTTTTATATTTTTAATAAAAAAAACCCTCATACTAATAAAGTTATGTAATTATAAATCTTATTTATATATTAGGTTAAATATAAAAATGATTCCTATATTATATATTTTCTGTTAGTTTGATATTTTAAAAAATAAAATTATCAATTTTGTATTTTAACTTTCATTCTGTCATCTATTTTGGTATATAAGACTAACATTATCATTCAAACTACTAACATAGCATGAACATCTAATAAAATGTTGACATATATAAAAAAAAAATCCAATCAACGCTACATCATCAATTGCTATATCAACATTAAAAAATTCAATAAATTTTCTAAATTTTTTTAATTTTAAAAAGTATAAAATATTTGTAAAAATTATTAAAATAAAAGGTTAAAATATTTTTAAAAATTTAAAAAATTACAAAAAGTTAAAAAAATTCTTAAAATTAAAAAAACCCAAAAGAATTCTAAAATTTTCAAAAAATGAAAATTTTAATAAAAATAAAAGTTTCTATAAATTCAAAAAAAGATTCACAAAAAATTTAGATTTTTTTGAAAAAATCTAACAACCTTTAAAAAATTACAAAATTTTTTCACTTTCTATTGAATCTTATATTTTAAATTTTTTATGTATTTTAATAAAATTTCAGAATTATTTTGTATTTTATTAAAATTTTAATTTTTTTCTTTACTATTTAACAAAAATTTTTTAATTAAAAAAATTTTAGAATGTTTCAAAATTTTGAAAATTTTTAATTTTTTAGAATTTTTTAAACTTTATCATAAATTTTTTAAAAATTTCAAATTTTTCAAAAAATTTTAGATTTTTTAATTTTCAGATTATAAAATTTTTGTGAATCTATTTTTGAATTTTAGGAAAAGTTTATTTTTATTAAATTTTCATTCTTTCGAATTTTCAAATTTTTTTGAATTTTTTACTTTATCTCTCATTTCTTGGATTTATTGAAATCAATAATTAAAAAAGATATAAAAATTTTTTTGTCCTTTCATTTTATATATATATATATATATATATATATTATACACAACAATTTCAACCAAGGCTATAAATCATTATTCATTATTGCAAATTACAATATACGAATTACTGAAAACAACATATGTTACAATAACATATTTTTTTCTACTATATCACATGCCTTTTCACTTGAACCATTCCTTTTTTGCATTCTTCTAAATGCCCCACGAGACGTGAAAATGCTTAACACTCTACATGCCAAGTTCAGTAAAAAAATGGCAACTTCTCTCTTCTTCACCACTGATGTTTGGTAAACATCAAACATGGTTCCAATTGTCGAGAAACTCCATCTACTCGATAATGTCATTGCTTGTTTTCACTGCAATCATAGTTTCTAACCATGAAAACAAGCAAACAAAATACTTGGCTACGTTTTTTTCATTAAACTAAACCCATGCAACTGAATGTTCTTGGTTAATGTCAACAATATGTAGGGATTCAGACTGCGATTAAAGACGGTCAGTGAAGCACTTGACAAAGGCCTCGAGAAGATCATTGATGACCATGAGCTGAATATATATTCATCAACAGAAAAAGCAACAGAGGGATTTCGTTGATACGAATCCATGCTTACAATGTTAAGTCAACCAATGAATCCCAATGATGATCCGTGCACATAAATGGTCGGAAAGCCAACAAAGCCATAATATTAGATCAATTTACCGGTGGCTTTGACACTGCAACTACCACAATCAAGTGGGCATTAGCAGAGCTCATAAGGCATCCGAGGGTAATGCTACATCTCTAAGAAGAGTAATAGAAAGCATTGTTGGGAATAAGAGAATGGTGGAGGAAATTGATTTACCAAAATAAGCATACCTGGACATGGTTGTGAAGGAAACTTTAAGGCTTCATCCTGTTGCTCGTGAGTCCATAAAGGAACATAGTTATCGATGGATATTATATACAAAAAAAGTGAAGGATCTTAGTAAATGTTTGGGCAATTGGGAGAGATCCTAATGCGTGGTCCAATAATGTTGAAGAATTGTTTCCAGAAAGGTTCGTTGATAGCAATATAGACCTTCAAGGACATGATTTTCAACTCATCCCATTTGGTGCAGGCCATAGATTATGCCCAAGAAAGAAATTAGGCCTCCTAACCACGTTAAATTTGTTATAGCTCCTAACGAATTGGACATGAGTGAGAAATTTGGTCTCTCATTGCTAAGAATTAAGCACTGATTTTTTACAAATTAAAAAAAAAAAAAAAAGTTCCACAGTTTTGTGTAAGTTTGATTACTCATTTAGAAAACAATGAAACAATCATTTTTCCGACGATGAATGAAATCATTGGAGTACCAGTCAAAGCTTAAATGTTCCTTCCTGGATATTTCACTTTTTGCACCTAATATGTAGTACTAGTATTATTACGCTTCTTTACGTAACTTCACCTTGACTTGTGTTGTTTGCATAGAAAGTGACTTTCCTGGAGTTGTACTAATTCCAAATTCCGATCCTCCAATGGATCTCCCAAAATATTCAACTCCATGGATATGATCCATACTCTTTCTTAGCAGATTGATAGTTCCCTGAAACCCCAGGCACCCAAATCTCTCTCAATATCTTCTCTGATCAAGAGGGGGATGGATTCTGATGAAAGGCCACAGCAAGTAACAGGGGTAGTTATAATAACTCTTCCACCATCTGACAACCCTTCTTTAGGCAAAACAATCACAGCTTTTACTCTTACTAATGATGTTTTTCCTCAATCCAACCAAACCCAACAACGAGAACAAGAACAAGAACAACATCTGCCAACAACCCAAACTATAACATCACCTCCACAAAACCCTCAACTTGGATTCTCATTCTCAAGACTCTTTTTAGATAACCCGAGAAAGCTATTAGGCTTTCTGGGTATCTCCCTTTTAGCTCTTCTTCTTTACAGTTCTGCTTTCTCCAACACTTCGGTAGAATTAAGGAATTCCAACAATGATGACGATGAGAAGCCACAGTCTTTTATCTTCCCTTTGTATCATAAAATGGGGGCTGATTCAGAGCTCAAGTTGGGGAGGTTTGTAGATGTTGATAAGGTGAATTTGGTGGCTTCAATTGATAGTGGTACAATAGGAACTCAGAAGATCAACAAATTGGTGGCTGCTAATGCTGCTGTAATTAATTTATCTGGTACTATTTTGCCTGTTAGGGGCAATGTTTATCCAGATGGGTACGCGTAAATCTCTTTCCTTATCTAACTTACGTCTTTGTTTTTGGTCTGAGAAATTTGGAAACAGATGTCGATTTTATAGCAATTCGAATTTTTCTAGTAGTGCTACTTGTAGTAAGCTGCAAAAAAGCCTTGGAATCTTTGTGTTGGATAACTACAGCCATCTTTATAAAATTATAATGTTGCTTTGTTGTGCACTTGAGAGAAATGGAAACCAATGTAATTGTCTCAATTTATATCTTTAAAGTATTTTTGTGGGATTCATTCATTAGGGGAGTGTAAGAATGCTTCTTTTTTCCATATCTATAATGACTGGTCACTGTTTTGATAAGCATTTTCGGGCATTTTCAACCCTAAATAAAAGCTATGTTGCTATTCTCCCTTTTTTCAATTTCCTGTGTAAACTCTTTACCCTTTATCTTAACCCTCTATACTGCAACTACAACTTGGATGATTATATAAATGATCAAGCCAATTGCAGTGTATGTTTGGGCATTTGTGTTGCAAAGATAGCAACGGAAGCATTTGTTTTAGATCCTGCAGTTCAGGGATAATGCCCATCTTGAAGAGTTATTAGTAACCAAAAGATTAGAAAAGAAAATGTTTCTGCAGTGATAGTGCTTGTTTGGTTCCATCAGATACTGACTACAGGAGATACAAAATGGGGGTGATTGTGGGTTTTGTAATATGTTGTCAACTACAGTAACTTGTACCATATGCTTAAAGTGTGATTTTTCTTAACTTAAATTTTTATAATTTTACAGATTGTACTTCACGTACTTGCTTGTTGGGAATCCTCGAAGACCATATTTTCTTGATATTGATACTGGAAGTGACTTAACATGGATACAATGTGATGCTCCTTGCAGCAGCTGTGCCAAGGTAACGCATTGCTCACTAGTTACTAGTCTTTCTGGTTGTGCATACACTAACGGGATCTGTAAACAACCATTGCTAATTATTATAAAAGTACACTGCTGGCTGATGTAACAAATACCCATTTGTTCCTTCGCATATTGAGTCTAATAGAATTCTTAAACTCTCTTACTGAATTTCATCCTTTCTTTGTTTATCGAGCAGATATACCAAATTAATATGTTTATTCTGCTTTTTTCCTCAATTCACCTCGCCTTCTCCATTTTTTAGGGCTTTCAGTTTGTTCATTTTGGTTAACAGTGTTAAAAATCTCTTTAATATCTCTCTTAGTACAAGAGGGGAGCATTAAGCCTCAAACCTAGGATCCCTACTCATCTCAATCACTCAAGCTTAAGCCCAAGTGCATCTTACATCATAGTTTGTCTTGAATTTTCCTTTAATTGACCATAGGGCTAGAAGTCAGGAGACACACATTGCAATATATTAAAAATGGAAGTGTTTTGCGGTTTCTATTAATTTCATTAGTAAAAGTGCATCTTCACTACCTTGAGCAAAGAAAACACTTAAAAACAGAGCCTAGATGGAGGGAAAATAAGTTTTTATCAAGATAATGTCATAGGATAAGAGGTTAAGAACCAAACACTGTTGATGATGTAATTCTTGCGATAGGGATCATCCATACTCTAATGGATACAGTTGATGTAGGGAGCCAATCCTCTGTACAAACCCACGACAGTGAATATCGTGGCGTCAAAAGACTCAATGTGCACAGAGGTACAGAAGAATCAGAAGCCTCAAAATTGCAAAACCTGCCAACAGTGTGACTATGAGATTGAATATGCTGACCGTAGCTCCTCCTTGGGGGTTCTTGCAAGAGATAAACTTCACCTAGTAACTGCAAATGGATCAATTACCAACTTAGATGTTGTTTTTGGGTATACTTTTTCAACAAACTCCCTCTGCATACTGGACTGTTGAGCAGTTTATCTATTTAATCTTCCTGCCCATGTGTTTGAATAACTTTTGAATTTATTTTTCTTAAGGTGTGCATATGATCAGCAAGGCATACTTTTGAACACTCTGTCAAAGACAGATGGAATTCTTGGACTGAGCAGGGCTAAAGTTAGCTTGCCTTCACAATTGGCGAGCAAGGGAATTATTAACAATGTGGTCGGTCATTGCCTTGCAACAGATATAGCTGTTGGTGGATATATGTTCTTGGGTGATGATTTTATACCAAACTGGGGAATGTCATGGGTCCCTATGCTTGGAAGCCCTTCAACGTGAGCAGGAATCTCTGAAAATTTGCTTCTTGTTTGTGATTCCTTGAGGCATGTACTTGTTTTTTAATGTGAAAATGTATAATTCATATCTAAACAATTCAACCAGTAGAAAATGATCTATTGCTATGTAATTTTTGCAGAAATGATTTACTTTAATGTTTATTGACAAGTCCTAAAAAACACAGGCCAGAAGTTGATACTATATTTCCACCTAGTCTACAAAAGCCTATCCACCATTCTTCTCTTCACTATTTTGTAAGAAAGGTTATTTTTTGGACATATACCCCTTACAGTGATAGATGTTATTTATTATAAATGTCAAAATCAGCATCTACAGAAGTGCTTGACCAGTTTTCAAGGAAGCCAGTTTTTAAGGAGGCTTTGTGCTGTCACTTGATTTAACAATTGCTGCACCATGTTTGTTTGTCATCATTGCCCCTCCCTTCTTCCCCATTTATTTTGTTCTCCCTGATTTGTTTCATTTTAATAATTACTTAAACTATTCTGTGATTTAACTTCTGCAATTTCTCATCTTGCTGTTTAGTTCCAATTCAGCTTTGACTTATTATTTCTGTCTCTTGATTTTATCTTACCTTCAGAGAATTTTACCATACACAAATTGTGAAAATCAATTATGGAAGTAGCTCCCTCAATTTAGGAGGACAAGACAGCAACATTGGAAGAGTTGTGTTTGACAGTGGCAGTTCTTATACATACTTCACAAAACAAGCATATTTGGAATTGATCACTTCTGTATGCATTTCCATCTTCAGCTTGATTGAAAGATAATTAGTCACTTTTTTAGAAAGCATTGCCAACTAATTATATCGACTACCTGTTGCTTGATGCAGCTGAGCGAGGTTTCCACATTGGGACTTATCCAAGATGCATCAGATCCAACACTGCCAATTTGTTGGCAAGCTCCATTCCCGATCAGGTAGCCTATCTGTTGTTTCAGTTAGTTACATTTTTCTTTTTGGCTGTGGAGAAAATTTCCACAACCTATGTCTAATCCTCTTCTAAGGATTTGAAACAAAAACACATTTTGATTGCTGGAACTTCTATTTTGTATTGATTTTCCTGCCTTAACGGGGTTGTACAGACAATATCTAACAGTACAACTCCTGTCATTAGTTACACTAACACATTTGAAATGCTTGCACAAGAAAGGCAGCGCTTTGTGGTCTTTTGGTACAGAGATGAAATGGAGAGACGAATTCATTTATAGAGTACTTAAACTATTGATTTTATCAAGGAAAAAAGTTTACTTTTTGCTTGTGCGACTACCACTACTATCACGTCACATGAACTACCATCTGGGCATGTTATCACCTTTGGAGATGGTCATTCTAACTTTGTATGAATTTCCATGCATTGCCGTTTTAGTGCCTCCAGTTATTTCTAAAAAATTGGATCATTTTAGTTTTCAAGATTAATGTGTTTGCACAAAATTTTGTCTGTGTATACATACATAGAGTTAATTCAGTAATTTATTCCTATGAATTTGGGTTAAAGCTATAGATTCTTTTGTTAAAGTTTCTATATAGAGGTGTTTCTGACTTAAAAGAAGAGCAAAAAAAAAAAAAAAAAAGACTAGTTAATGTGCATTTTTTTGGGGGTAATAATACTATCACTTTGCTCATAAAGCGAGCTCTCCTGCAAGTTCCAACTTGTAGTTGACTCAAAAGATTCTTGTTTCAGCAGCTAGCTAGGCTCTACCTGCCCTCCTTGGACTAAAAGCAGTTGATATTGTACTTGATTGGCATCCTTTTAATGTGGACTTCATCCATTTTTTGTCACTCGTATAATTCTTTCACTTTTCCATTTAAAATTGTTCCCACTAATCTGTTGCTACTAAAAAAGTTACATATTTGACTTTAACTTTACTGTTTACCGTTTTATTACAACAACTTAAAACTTAAAAGCAGTGGTATCACCCCCAAAGAACAATTTGATATCTAACCTTCTCATAATATTGACATGCTTGTTTAGTTACCATGTGACAAAGGAAAGGGGATGCCGGAGGTTTTTTAATTTAGGCACGATAGTTTCCAATTTTAAGCGTACTTTTCTTTTTTTTTTTTTTTGGAACTAAAAGGTTGCTTTCAAGCTTGCTTTCCTTTGTGTTGCATTCTGTAGTATGAAATAGTTGCAGAAGAAATATTATAATTTGCAGAAGAAATAGTTGCATTCTATAGCATAATTTGCCCTCCATGGGTCTCAAACTTATTCTTTTTAAGTGGTTATGTTAGGTTATTTAAATACAGATATCCTAGTCAAAACTCTTCTACAAGCTTGATCAATGAATTAATCTTGAGTCTAATGAAAATCAGTTATTTCATTAACATATTATAGCAAGATACCCTTTTCTGATGTGACCTTACTTTAAACCAGTTGACCACGTCCTAAAAGTTGCATCTTTGTGGATGCAGATCTCTTATGGATATTAAGCAGTTCTTCAAGACTTTAACCCTTCAATTGGGGAGCAAATGGTGGATTCTTTCCGAGAGGTTTCATATTCCTCCAGAAGGCTACTTGATCATTAGTGTAAGAACTTCCCAACTATTATGTACACTTGTCCATGTTTCTTTTCACGCAAAATGGTTCCAGTGTACTCCAAAAGCCCATTATGATGCAATTTCCTTCCTGTTATGCAGAATAAAGGTAATGTCTGCTTAGGCATCCTGGATGGAAGCAAAGTACATGATGGATCCACAATTATACTTGGAGGTAAGATCATTTTTACTTGGAACACCAAAATTTTTATACCACATATTCTTTCGCTCTACAAATTCTTTGCTAAAGCCCAGTTTTTTTCTTAAGAAAGTTTCAACTTTCAATTTTATCAGATCCTAACCTAGTCTTAGAAATCCAATGCCTTGTAACATGCTCAATTCTTTTATCGTGGTTGGCTCTTAGTATTATTATTTTGTTTTGTAAATTTCATTTGGAAATGCATGTTTTCCTGCATGCATTTTCTTATCTCTTGTTCAAGAAAATAAACTATGGTGATGGACAGGCGCAGCGTACCTTGTGTTATATCCTTGTATAAGTCCTAGTCCTTGTTAGTATTTCCTATTGTATTGTTTTATTTTAATGTTTTTGCTATTCTACTTTCGTTTGATCTTTGCAGACATTTCTCTGCGGGGGCAATTGGTTGTGTATGACAATGGGAAACTGAAGATTGGGTGGACACAATCAGATTGTGCCAAGCCAACAAGATTCAAGAGCCTCCCTTTCTTTGAAGGATAGTTTGCCTGCTATAACACTGGACAATTATATGCATATCTGTATATTCTAAGTTTAGACTAAAATTTTCTCACGTGATGCTCTACTCTACATCTGCACTTTTTTACTTGCAGCTACTTCTGGACCAAAAGTTGCTCATCTTCCGTTGTTTTTCTTTTTGGTACATTTTCATCTCTTCGACCAAAAATAAAAATTGCAATCCTTAACTACTGAACAATCATTGAATGACCTGTGTGTACACCGTCAATAAATCACGAATTTATTGATTTATTTTTAGAATATGCCAGAACATAGAACTTTTTACCAACTCATTTAGCGCCCCAATGAGACGGAAAAAAGAAGTTATGATTTTTTTTTTTTTTTAAGAGTTCTTTTTTAGTGTAATTTTTTAATTCAACTAGTGAAATTAAGGGATATTATATGTTTTTTTAAATATTTTCTTATTATACTTCAAAGAATCTATGTTACTCTGCTAATCTAATAAAATTTAAACTATACTTAATGTGATAATTTTTCATTGTAGTGTCAATGCATTAATCACATTAATGTTAAATGAAACAGCATGCTAAATTGATATCAAAATCTAATAAAAAAAATCTCATTGAACGGCTTACCACCTAAGAGTTCTCATTATAACTTTGGCAAGTGAAAGTTGAAATCCTGAGATTAAATTGCATCATTACTCCAAGAAGAAGAAAAAAAAAAAAAAAAAACTGATCATTATTATGGTGTCACCTTCTCTGGTCATCATACAGAAACATTTGATAATGGGCACAAAAACAAAACCATTCACCAACCATGAAAAACATTTTAGGAAAGATTGATTCTATCAGCAGATTTCGATTGTTCAGAAGAAATAAAAATCACATTACAAGCAACTCTGACAAAATTTGCAGTCTCCTATAGATCAGAGGCAACCAGCTTCGAAGTTAGTGAATAATAAATGTCCCTTCAGATTTCTTGTGATTTGGAATTACATCAAAAGTGATACTCAAGTAAGATTTAAGGTGCTAACCTTCACAACTTTCTGGCACTTAACGGCCAAATACGAACTCTACTTTTTCTTTCCTCGTAAAATGAAAAAGGTTAACTTTTGAAGCACAACAAGCCCAAATGTCAGATCCAAGTTTAAACTGATTTTAATCATCCCCAATTAGATATACCTGGCTAATTTAATTATTATTTTGTTTTGTAATCTACCATTTACTTATAATAGTACCATATATATCAAGAAATTGCTTGATCGAGGCAAGTGAAAATATGCCGAAACATGTTCTTCTCAAGCGAATTGTTTGACAAAAGGAACTCGGCACCTCAATAACAAGATTACATATATCTGCAAGTGAGTTGTTGAATTTTAAAGGGTAAAAATACAATTAAAAAAAAAAGGACTAAAGATACAATCTAGCTAGACATAATGACATGATCAATTGATTGTAGGGCTTGGCTGGCGAAAAACCTGACATCAACATCAGGATCCTCACTCAATTCAACTAAGCATGGACGGATTGTCTTCTCCAACACCTGCATTGTTCATGCATGAAAAATACCATTTATATTCCAAATCCAAGAACAAACTAATCCAGTATAACAACCTCCTTTATATACCAATCTTCATCACCCAAGATAGAGATATTACACTAAGCACTCAACATGTTTAAGAAAAAATTTTCAAATATTAGAATGAGAATAAATTTACTCACAGATTGATCAACAATTGGAATTAGTGATTGCAGCACCTTGGCCACATTAAACTTGATGTTGGGTACCCTGTTGTTTCATGCAATTTTTTAGTCTGATAATACAAGTCAAAGAATTCAAACAAATAAGGTTTCAAATCAAACTTCTGAACGCATCAGCATTACCTATCTTTTGAAGCATTAATAACCACAGGGAGAAGCTTTGAACAAGTAACATCGGAGCCCATAACAGACGCAAGTAGAGAAATTGCATGTAGAATGGTCATTCGATACAAATAATGAGGGTTGTTAATCATGTCCAAAACCTGTAAATAGATTCCCCAAAAAAGAGACTGCATATTGTGAACCAACATCTTCAGATATATCCCTTTTGTACTTGTTTAGAATTAAAAAAAAAATTAAGTTAATTGTTAAAATAAGCAGACTGACCTGTGGAACTATGTGCTGCATTGCCCAGTCAGGCCCAAATTCTTCTGCAAGGCGCTTCACATTATTAGCAGCAGCATCACGAATGGAATAAACCTACAATGAATAACTATGTAGCTAAGTTTATTTTGTAATACTACAATATTAAGTTCCTAGTATTGCCTCTTAAAGGTAGACTGGTAATATGGAAACAAAAACCTATCAAGCAAACAACAACTTTTAAATATTGGTTTATTCTCCGAATCCACCACCAGGAACCACGATTATAAATATAAAATTAGTAAGACTAATATCCAATTGTGGATTCTCAAATAAGCAGGTTGCAATTCCAGATTGACATTGACATATTTCATTATAAGACAATTGAACTGGGATAAAAGCATATAGACAGAAGCACATAAACTGCATTGATCTTTGCTCCATATCAAAGTTCTTTGCACCTTATCTTTTAACCATTGCATGCAGAGTGCACCAAGTTTGTCATCAAAAAAGCCAACACCCAACTGACTTGCCAATAGAGGTATGTATTCTATTATTGCAAGCCGAACCCTCCAGTGCCTATCCTCTGCAAGCTCCACAATTGCTGGCAATAGAGACTGGGACAGCAGATCAATTCCAATCACCTACAATGATAGGTATATCAACTAAGCTTCATTTGAATATATGAGAGAGATATTCAATAACATGCTCATAGGAAGTAGTTCTTCCAACCACTGCACCAAAACAAATGATTAAATAGCAAGATGAGAAATAAATAAGGAAACTGCAAGTGATAATGCCAGTCAAGTACTAATATAATAAATAACACATTATCACTTGAGCTTAGACCAAGTGATAATGGATGGATGGAGCTTTCAGTAGACAACCTAGGTTTCGTAGCCTCAGTGCTCTCAGTCTTACCAAAAAAATAGTACATGAAACATCATTAAATCCAAACCTCAGATATTCTTGTTAGCTGGGAAAGAACTTGCATAAGGCATCAGCATCAAGAAATTTAACATCTTGATTTAAGAGGACTGACTGTGTATGGAGGAATTTCCACCGTAATCAGTTTAGACTGACAAATTGACATGTATACATAAAGTAAGATGCAGACACATGATGTAATGGCCCTTTTTAGTCAATCAATCTAAAAGGCTTGTTTATTTTGATACATTTGAAACCGATAAAAGTGACTGAAATTTTGACAATCTGAATCCCTCAAACAACAATAAGGTTCCCAGCCTACAACCTTCACCAATTGCTGCAGTATGGTCGGACAAGAAACTTCATAGTTGTGGCCAGATGGAAGAGTCACTATGTGGTGTTTTCTCCAGCAAATAAAATAAAATCAGACTCACAAACTTTATTTGACAAACGAAGAGAGTCTGAGATTGGTTAAGCAGTTAGTCCAGTCACCTGTCTCCTTTCACTTCTCAGTTGAACATAGAGAATATAAAACCATTCAGTCCACGATCAGAATCCAAGAGAATGTTTCTTAAAAACAGTTGAACAATATCACCAGAAGGGTAAAACATTGAAAATAGAAACTAATAAAAAAAATCATTATTGTTCTTAATAAATCTTAAATGAAATCTCAAAAATTAACAAACCTGGTTGACTTGATCAAGCTTGCTAATGATATTCAGTCGAACATCCGGAAATTCATCTTTCAGAAGAGAAAGAAATATGGGAAGCAATTGGTCTATGGTCGCATCCTACAACCATCAAAGAAGAACACAATATACACAAAGGGCAAAAAATTAAAAAAAAAATGTTTGCAACATGTACAGAATGAATGCAATTTCAATTACAAGGCAACAGAACAATAGGAAGCAATGCCTTCTATAATCAATATGAGACCTAACCAAAAAAAAAAGAAAAGGAGCAAGACAACTTGTCCAGACAACACACAATAATAATTTTTTAATTTTGTTCATGGAAAGAATAAAGAGCCAATCTCCCACATATTTCTGAATAGAGCTTGTTGCTCAGAAAAAACACCAAGCAACCAGAAATGTTATCTGGGCCACATGTGAGAACACTAAAAAGGTCATCAGTCAAAGCAATTGAAAAATCTACATTATACTAACTTCCATACTTGTAGCTAACATAACAGTGGCTGACCAGAAAAATGTTGTCAGAAGAGAAGATGAACATTTATTCAACAAATTAAACAGTTGACCATACCAAAAAGCATCATGTAAACAAATTTGATTGATCATTTGATATAATTGCTATGCTTAGTGCAACTAGTTGGGTTTTTAGGCTTAGGATTCAAAAAAAAAAAAAAAAGGACAAACCACAGTATAAGTTCATACTATAGCACTAATAACCAACTCATCGCTTCGGATCATCTGGATCCAAAGCATTAGTCAAGATATGATATATTGGTCAAATAATTATAGCAAACAAAATCTTTTTTTTTTTTGGTGTTAAGTAAAAAAAAAAAAAAAAAAAACCCAATCTGATTATGAATATATCTAAATTGTGAAGCAAAATAAAAAAGTATGTGGATAAATAGAAGGATGAGAAAAAGCGAGAAAAAGAAATAGCAATGAAATGATATATGATTCCAATATGTAAGGTCTATGAAGCATCTCATAAAGAGCAATGTAATAGAGCATCAATAGAGATTCATCATTGAAGATGGACTATGCAAGCACAAGACAAGATAGGATGGTTACCTTCCCTAAAGCGGGCGCCATTCCCATTATAACTGAAGCCAAAGCAGAACGAACATACTGGGATGAATCTGTTGATAGTTCCTACAGTAGACAACCTTAACTAATTTAGAAAGGATGTAACTAGAGTGGAAAAACTAGATTACAGCAACAAATGAAGAAAAAAACATGGATGAAGTAGGCAAAGTACTCCATGAGCATTTTTACCTTAACACAAGGAAGAATATGCTGAATTGCTAATTCTGGATTCAGAATTCGGCAAAATTTAGTTACTTTTCCAGCAGCAGCTATCCTTACTTCGGCTTCATTATCACGAAGTAGACGAACATATGCAGGTACTAGATCCAACCTAAACATGTAAGCATTACAATATCATTCAAAGATAACCGATAAGGCCATCACTATAAAAACATCATTCAAAGCAAATGTAAGAATGTGACAAGAATAAGTTTTGAATGGCAAAAGCATGATAATTGATAAATGACCTAAGCCAATTGCATGCATTTCCAATTAACTAGAAAGGAAACAAGAAAATTCATCAATAGAGATCAGGGAGACTGGGCAAAAGGTGGAGAAAAACAGGTATAACAATAAAAGTCAGGAAAGCAAAAAAAAGATAATGGAGGCCACATGATTGTAGAGATTACCTGGTAGGCTCAGGACCAACAGCTTCACACAGCTCAAACAATTGATTTGCAACCATGTAGCGGACACGCCAAGACTTGTCCTAGTAGCCAAAGTAATACAATTAAAAAAAAAAATCCTAAACGCGAATTACCTGACTGAAAAATGGGAAGAGAGAGAAAAGGGAGAGAGGAAAAATTAAAAGAATAATAATTACCAAACCTTATACTTTGCCTTAAAATTAACTAGAAACCAAGCACAATATTTGCATCAAACACAAATACAAGGTATATTCTAAAAATTGAACAATAAAAACAAAACTTGTGAAGAATATAACATCTATAACCTTAGAGGTTAATCAATTTCTAGTAGATTGAATCAAACCATAAGTCTTCCAGAACTTGGTTAAAAACTAAATATATGACACATCCCAATAGAGTAGTATAATACAGATTAAAGGCCCTCATAAAAAATGAACAATTAGCAGTTTAAGGTTGAATCACAAAGAGTGTCAATCCATTTCATTCAAAACATGCTCAAAATTTTTGCAGATGCAATAATGGAACATGCCAGTAAGATGGCCAAAATGTTTGATACTACTGCTTTTTAAGCTGGGATCAAGGAATGTCAAGTGTTCAGAAGAATAGTGGTTATTGGTTAAGTTTCATCTTCAACCAAGTAAAAGGCTGAAAGAAATCCACAACCTCCTCAATGGCTAGTTTCAGATAGAAGAGGGGAAAAAAGGACTTTCATAAGTTCTCTCGGGATGCAATTTGTAGAAAAATAACCCATGTTGAAATCATAGAACTCAAGCACAACGAGAACATAATACAAAGTTTACCCCAACCTTCTCAGAAAGATGGGGAAAATGACAAAATAAGACAAGGATGGAGGAATTTTGGAGATCCTAACATATTTGTAATATAATATCCATAACACATGGTCCACCTGTGAGAAATTAACCATGACAGGGAGAATATGTGCCACACAATCTTGGGGTTCCAACAACTTTCCAAGCGCTGCACAACCCTCAACAGCCAATAATCGAACAGAATCTTGATCTGATGGGATTATAAATTGGAGAAAATAAGAACTTAAACCCCACTATAAAGTACAAATTAACAATAATAATGGAAAACTGAATATGCAAAATAAAAAAGCACAACTATGAATGAACAACCATAGGAAAGGGATTTATTTTTTTTTACATTTATAAAAATAAGGTGAAAACCTCATAAAGTACATCTTTGACCTTAGTTATGCTTTACAAATGAAACACAAGATAAATTTCACAGATTCTTTGATATAATTCATTGAAAAGATTAGAGAAGACAAGAAAGGTTATAGGAGCCTGTACTGGTAAAATGGCTCAAATATAAAATCATCTAATTTTTTGGGTGACTGTCCAAGACTCCTGTTCATAAGCAATACACCTTGAATTTATCAGATAAACAAGATGAAGTTCCAAAATTACAAAACGCTCTTTTTTTTTTTTTAATACAAAAAGAAAGGAAACTTTCCTTATGAATAGAAAGGAGCAGCCTATTACCCCTTTCCCAATTCCTTTTCCTTCCTAAAAGTTTGAACCAAAAACCATTCCCTCTAAAAGGAAAAAAAGCACCATAAGACTACTAAACTCTCCCCTCATATTTCTGGTCAGGATTGTTTAACTAAAATCACTTATCCTGCACTTTTGTCTGTCTAATATATTTTAAAGCATATATTCAACAATGAAATCAGCAAACCAAGTGATCATAATTTAATTCAAAAAGAAGAATAAAAATTAATCTACATACCATACTGTGTCAAATCATCAAACATAGACATGATGTCCACCTTCAAATGAGGTGCTTCTACAGTAGCAGCAAATTTTCCAAGATTTGTTGCAGCAGATCTCCTAACCATGGGCATGTCATCCTGGCAAAGCTGACTGTATATTGCTCTTAGTTCAGTTTTTAATGCCTCTGGGGCACTTGGGTATGCAATATGAAACAAGCCACACGAGGAAACTCGAGCTGTAAACCACTCACCAGCAGCCAATCTCTGGATGTTGGAGACAATCACATTCAAAGGAACAAGACAGTCATTTTATTTGTTGCGAGGCAAACTAAATCAAGTATTAATTAGGATTATAATTAAAAATGAATTTGAGAATAATTAAGGATAACACCATGTCCTGGTCACCGGGCTTAGGAATAATCATATTATATATGGTACTATTATCCAAATGACAACAAGCAGAGCAGTAGAGCATGCAAGGGGATTTTCTTCAACTCTCTGGTTTATAGAGTTTTCATGCATTATCAAACAATATCTTTCTTCCACTAACAATCTTTTCACCACATAAAAATTAAAGCTAAAATCGAATTCTATATCAAATTAATGTAGTTCCTCGTTGTAATATTTTTTCTCATCTTTCCTAAGAAATAGAAAAGATAGAAAAACTATTTATATATATATACACACACACACATATATATACACACATATATATATATATATATATATAAATTTTACACCAGGGAAAAGAAAACACAATGCATAAGCCAACCTTCACTAATGGAATAAAGGACTCAACCAAGTCCTGCTCCCTCATCTGGGCACCAATTCTACATAATGACTCTACAGCCTTATCCCTCACACAAGTTTCCTCAACAGTGCAAAGAGTCTCTAATGGAGGTAGCAAAACATTAGCATATTCCACACCTCCAACATAAGGAATAAAAACTCCCAATTCTTCCGCCATGGCAAGGAGAACTTCATCATCATCATCATTGTTCTCACTCAGAAATGGAATCAATTCCTTTCGTGTCCTTTCTTCCCCAAGGGCACGTGCAATTGTAGAGAGCCTACGAATCGAGTTCAAACGAAGCTGGATATCCTCGTTCTTAAGCTCATCGATCAACACCGCAATGGGATATAAAGGCTCATCAATCATTGCGTGTTAATTCACAAAATCTTACACCTGTCAATACACAAAAAGACTCAACATAATTACTTAATTCTATTTCAGAATTCAAAAGTCCGAAAAAGTAGAAATCACAGTTAAGAAACCTGAACAACTATTTAACCTAAGCTAATCTTATACCTTTCCCTTCATATTCTAAGCAACCAAACAGGATGTTTATGAGGAAGAGGAGAGACATTAAAAACGCACTAATTACAATAAATTTGGATTATAAGAAACCATAATAAATGCGAAAAAAAAGTGATCCAATCTATAAACATTTCGAAAAAGGCATGAAAAATCTTTGTAACTTAAACCCTCTAAAGCTGACAACGACCAGCCAGGAGATCTATAATTCCGAGGAACAAAATTTTCTCACAGTGAAAAAGGAAAACCTGGCGTGCCTTTGGAGGGTTCAAGTGCAGAACTGTTCGAAACTCGATCAGATCTCTAAGTGGAGAAAGAGGGGGACATTACATAGGATTCGATCTGCAAAAGATTAGAAGATTTGTTCGTTTTTGTTTTTGTTTTTGGTTTTTTTTTTTTATGCTTTTGTTATTGAATTTGTGTGATATTATCTCGGCAAAAGAGGGGCTCTTTTTTGCACAACCTTTTTACTTTTTTTTATTCCCTCATGATCCGTGCGATGCGCGGGAATTTTTCTATTATACTTTTTATATTTTAACTTTTTAAAATATATTTTTTAATATTTTTAATTCATATTAATTTTTTATATTATTTTTTAATATAAATAGATCGATAAATAAAAATAATTTTTTAAAGTAGAATAGTTTGATTTAATTTCCACCAAATTTCGGTACATTCAAAAGAAATTATATCTTGTTGAATAATAAGAGGACATTCCTTTATCCAACTCACAGTGGATTCTAGGCTTTAGTGCATATTTGGCTAAAATATGTATCGTTTCATTTGCGTGAATTACTCTCGTAGCCCTCAAGCTAGTGTTATGTATCGAAATTTATAATTTATCTGTTATTATTTATATTTTTATGAGATATTATTCATTCAGATTTTTTTAATTTTACGATTTTATCTTATAAAAAGTATTTCATAAAAAAAATATATGTGAATCTTTATATTTTATGATTAATTCTAATACATAATTGATATAAGATTTTTGGCTTCATTTCAAGATCGTGACATCCTTTCTTCACTCTAATAAAGATTTATTGGTGTCACATCGTTAGTAATTTTGATTCTGATATCACTTGTCACGTGTCAAGATTTAACCTTCGATCTGTATGACTTTAAAATCTGGACATACACTTATTCAATGCCTCAAATCAATTTATCTGTATATTAACACTTTTGTGAGATATTATTCGTTCTGACCTTATGATTTTATCTTACAAAAAATATTTCATAAAAAAAACACATGTAAACTTTTATATTGTACGACTAACTGCTGATGTGAAATTCTTTACTTTATTTCATGACCGAAACACTACACTTATTGCATGCATGCACATTTGTTAAGTTTCCTATAGGAGACAAATCCACTGTTCCTGCGTTGATACTATTTATCACTTGTAGTGAAACTCCTTCCACAATAACTAAAGAAATCTCATTTCTTTTGCTAGCATGAAGGCTCGAATAGCTACTAAAGCCTATACCACTAATGGTTCTCTTATGTTTTCCTACCTTACTGCAACAGCACCTACACATTTGCCTTTGTCGTCCCTGACTATTATGCCCATATCCCTTCCATTATTCTGAGCTTGTAGACTCCCATCAAAAGTAACCTTAACACTATCACAGAATGGTGGCTTCTCGTTGACTTCCTCTTCTGAGGCGCCTCTAGCCATTCTCACATTTGCTTTCTCGTATTCATCCAAGTAGTCTCTGGCATGTTTTGGAGTGGTTGATGGAACTCGTTTATCTATGGCTTTTACTTCCAGGTTTCTATTATGCCACACCGCCCAGCACAACAACAAGCCAAGCTTTAGGCTTTCTTTATCTAGCCCTTTTACAATTCTTCCCAGCCATCCTCGTTCGGGTCCATGCTCCACTCTTTTCCACTTATTTGATATTGAGGTGCAATCCCATACTGCTTTGGCATGCATACAGTCCCAGATTGCATGTGCTATCGTTTTGTCATAATTACCACACCTTACACAGACTGGGTTTACTTTTATATGCCTTTTTTTCATATTACTAAACATTGGTAAAAAACCATTGTTCAGCTTCCACCCAAAATTTTGGATTTTAGTTGGAAGTTTTGCTCTCCATAGCTTTTTCCAAAACTTTTTATCTACCCTATTACGTGGCTCGTCCCCTTGGTTGTTTGCTTCCCCATTTTCTATCGAGAGAAAATGGTTAGCACTTTTCATCGTAAATATTCCACTCCTTTCCAGGCTCCATGTTAATTCATCTTTGTGGTGATTTTTGCTTATTGGAATGAAACAAATCAACAATGCTTCCTCCCCTGGAAATAATCTGTGGACGAGATCCTTCTTCCAAGTCATTGTATCTTGGTGGATCAGCTCTGCTACCTTCGCACTTCCTTCAAGCAAACAATGCCCTTCGTTGCCCGGATTAATAATGCTATTTGTAGGCAGCCATCTATCTCTCCACACTCGAATGTTTCTCCCACCCTCTACTCTCCATCTCAACCCAACTTCCAGAACATCTTTAACTAACCATATACTTTTCCATGTGAATGATGGATTGCGACTGATTAAAGCATTCAAGAAAGTATTGTTTGGAAAATATTTTGCACTCAGAACCTTCTATGCCAAATAGTTCGTATTTCTTATTAGTCTCCACCCGTGTTTAGCTAAAAGAGCATGGTTGAAATGTTTGAAGTTTTTAAACCCCATCTTTTTCATTCCTTTGCTAAGGCATATTTTGCTACATTCTACACAATGCAAGCTTTTCCCTTCTTGTTTTGATTTCCACCAATAGTTACTAATCAAACTGTTCAGTTCTAGGTATAAGCCTTTTGGGAAAAAGAAGCAACCAATCGTATAGGATAGTACGGCTTGGGGAATTAACTTGATGAAGATCTCTTTTCCCTCACTTGATAGAGTCCGATTGCTCTATGAACCAATTTTTATATGGATTTTATTCTTAATGTCTCTGAAGGCTCTTTTTTTATTCCTTCCCACTAGTGTTGGTAGCCCCAGATACTTTTCAGCGCTTGATGTCACCTAAATCTCCAATATTTGCTAAACACCCACCCTACTCTCCTCCCTAATATTACTGCTAAAATATAATAAGGATTTTTCGAAATTTACTTGTTGACTTGAACCATTTCTATATCTCTATAGCAAGTTACTTACTCTTCTGCATTCAAACTGGTTTGCTTTAATAAATAATAAACTATCATCTGCGAAAACAATGAGTGATTATAGGCCCATACTTGCTAGCACACACCCCACTAATCAATCCTTCCTTTTGGTGTTTCGGAAGCATTGATGAGAGTCCTTCAATACACAAAAGAAACAAATACAGTGAGAAGGGGTCTCCTTGTCTCAAATCACGTTCGGGGTAGAGCCTGTCTGTGACTTCACCATTAAAGATTATAGAGTAAAAGACAATTGAAATATATTTCATGATGAGTGACATCCACTGGTTATGAAAGCCTATCTTCCTTATTATGGCTTATAAGAAAGACCATTCTACTCTATCATAAGCCTTACTCATATCTAATTTGAGGGCCACATATCCTTCTTTACCTATTCTTTTCAGCCTAAGCTTGTGGAGTAATTCGTACTCAATAAGCACATTAGCTGTGATAAGCCTCCCAGGTAAAAATGCACTCTGATTTTCGCTCACACAATCTGGCAGAACTCGCTTGAGTCTATTAGCCAGGGCCTTTGCTATAATTTTGTACAAAACTTTTCACAAGCTAATAGGTTGAAAACTAGTGATTTTCTTTAGGTTTTTCATCTTAGGAATGAGGGTAATATTAGTGTTGTTCACCTCCTCTATTTCCCCTTCCCCATTCAAACAAGATAAGCAATAATTAGTAATATCATGCCCTACAATATTCCAAAATTTTTGGTAGAAAAGTGCAGGCATACCATTAAGCCTCAGGGCTTAGGTTGGATGCATTTGTTTCAAAGCCGCGTAAACCTATTCTGCCTTGAATTTTGTTGTGAAGAACTCGTTCATTTCATCTGTAATCCAGACATCCAGAACTTCAATAATATCCTCAAAATTTGTTGGCCGTTGAGTCATGAACAAGCTTTTAAAATACTGCATAGCTATATATTTCATTTTTGACTCATCCTTACACCACGCTTTTCTCTTATCCTCGAGGCCCCTGATATAACCGTCCTTCTGATTGAAAATTGTGCATGAAAAAACTTGTTATTTTTGTCCCTCTTCTTTAACCATGAGACCATTGATCATTGTGCCCAATACACTTTTTCTTTCTCAAGGGCTTCATTCAACCTTTCTCATATCACCTTTTCCTCCCTCTAGCACATCGTCATTAGGATCATTCCCCCTTTCTCATATCACCTTTTCCTCCTCTAGCACATCGTCATTAGGATCATTCCCCTTCAGGGCTTCAAATTCTTTTGTTAATCTCTCAACAGTTCGGTGGGGTCCTTGGTTAGTTAACCTACTCCAACCCTGCAGTCTTTTCCGAATATGATCAAGTTTCTTATGTATCCCCCTCTTTTGCATTGCTCCAGGCTTTCTTGGATAATTCGGCCACATTCATCCTCATTTGCCCATGCTGCCTCAACGTAAAACCTTCTTCTCCTCCTTCAACCATTCTTCTTCCCCTTTCCACCATCGGTATCTACTAATATTTGGTTATGGTATGACGTCGGACTTACCATGTTCATTATATAATAAGTTAACAACCCTAGCCACAGTAAACCCTTGGTCCAACCTTTCCCTGATCATAGTCTACCCCTCCCTTCCACACTCAAAAGGTACCAAACTCTTTTATATCCTAGGTCTTTTAAGCCCGCCTCATTTAATGCTATTCGAAAAACTTTCATCCATAAGGTTCCCCCAGCCTTTTCTGCATCCCAAAAGATTTTATTAAAATCGCCTAGACATAGCCACGATAGAGATGACACCCTAGAGAGATGTTTCAAAAGTTGAAACGTTTGGTGTCGCAACTAAGTCTTCGATTCGCCATAAAACCCTATTATTAAATATTCAACTTAAAATTAATTCACAATAAATAAAAAAGTCTAACTTAAATATAAAAATATAAAAAATTGGTTTAATAAGCTCTTATCATATGTAACCGAAGACAAAAAAAATTTATCATGTGACAAATTAAAAAATGACAACAATAAAAAATTTTGACTTTGATATCATATTAAATATCAAACTAAAATTAATTGAGAATAAGTGGAGGGACCTAACTTTAATTTACTACTACCAAAAATTAGCTATTTATCAGACAATCCAGGAAATTGGTTTAACACCTATGACCCTCCACTTCTTATCTTCCCAGTCTGTAAGTTTCGTATAAATATGGTTCTTTGAAAAACTAAGCAATTTGAAATCAAAACCTTCCTTCCACATCATCACCAGTCCACCACTTCTCCCCCCGGCATCTACCCCAAATAATGAGTCCATTTTGCACTTCCTCCTTATTCTGTCCATTTCTGTAACTTTCAGTGATG